GCGGTCAAGCTAAGACCTGGCACGAGGGTATGAAAACCCTAACCGGGAGACTAGGTCACATAGGCCCCGTTAGGCTCCCTGGCTGGGGACCTCGGCATGATGGTCACCGATGGTTAGCTACACTGAGTGATATGGCTGGGTGTCGCAAACAGTGGCGCTCGTGCATCCATTCGTTATTTTTCTAACACCACTCTATATGTATTCCCCAGCTTCCGCTTGAATTTCTTCGACATTCCAGTCTTCATTTCGCTCTTTTATCCAAATGGGCAACCAAAACCAGCGCACGAAAGTGCATGGTTAATGGTTGTCCAAACTGAACTGAACTGAACATGCACACAAGAATGGGTGACAAGTTCAGGTGCGGACAAAGTAAGACAGAGCGTGGTCAGGTGTACATAATTCATAAGACTAGTTTCAAGGGTACGTGAGAGAAAAAACGATCGTAGGGTGGGTTAAAGGGTCACAGACTTGCAAATAATACACTGGGATTTGCAACTGATTATGCATCTATCCGGCGTGCGAAATTTCAGTCAATGATAAAACGTTGTACCAGTCCTCTTCATCGAGGCCACAGAGAGAGAGGGAGGGTTCACAGAAGCGGCTTAAACCGATTAGTTAACAAATGATACTGCAAGCTGAACAAGCGAACACTTGATGAAAAATGTCCGGAGTTTGTGTTAAACTAATCATCTTTCATGAAACGGAGAATAACGTTTGAGGGTCCATCAGTGCGAGATATGATCAAATAGAATGATCAGGGATCAAACTGAATATCACGCCTAGCCTAGTGTGGCCTTATGTGGTTCGCCACACCAATCCCCGGGTCTCAGGTTACCGGTTTCCGTGGCTGAATAGCAAATCCTCGCGACCATGGGATTTTCCCCGTATGCTACTTATCGCACGAATAAATAATAATAATAATATTAAAATAGAAGAAAATAAACTTAACAGGACTATTCTACTCTAAAATGATAACTGAATTAGTACAAGGAACGTAAAAATCCATATTTCAATAGGAAGTCTTGGTTAGTTGTCTAGATTATGCGATCTTTAAATGCGCATATGAGATGTTCAGTGCTCCGTTTGAAAGTACTGTTTCTACTTTTTTTGACATCGTTGCGCTTTTGTATTTTTTCCCGCCTATTGTAATAAACGAATCGGTTACAAAAGGCCAAATTTGTGCATTGTCAGAGGATCCGGGATTGGGTTTGGCCACCGTTCATGAATTCGTGTCACAAAATTTGTTCGTCCTCTTTGTGTTTGTTTACTGGACCTCAATAATATTACTTATTTATATGGGCTCGTTGCGCTTCATACCCTTCATCTCTTTCTACTGTTACAGTTGATTGGCGAGTGCGCCCGTTGGGCATGTTTGTGAAATATTGGGCTCAACGTATGGACATACATGACGGTAGTCGAGGACGGCTTTCCACATATCCGTTATTGCTCATGCTGATCCACTACCTTCAGGCTTCATGCACACCGCCCATTTTACCTAATTTACAGGCTCGGTTTCCCGTGAGTGTCACTTGTCAGTAAACACATACCGGCCGTGGCTGCTTTTTGATTGGAGCACATGCTTGATAGAACAGGCTTTTGCTCCACATTTTTGTTTGCTTAATGTGATGTAATACAATCAGTTTCCAAGCAGCTTAAGTAGAACAACTCAGTGATTGTAATCAGAAGTTTACTGGGAATGTAAGAAGTATCGCAAATTTATTGTTATATTTTTTTTTAAGTTTGTGGTTGGTATGGTTTTCAAGAACTGTTCCATTTTCGTTTGAAAATGGTGTTAAGCATCCTCTAGATATTAATCTGTGCGCTCTCGACTATGCTGTTATTCATATGCTGTTGAGTTTTCTTAAACTATCTGCAGTAATTAGGTAGCTAACCGGTTTTGACTGTTTCATTAAATTGCATCCATACCGGAGACCAAATTTCGGGTGAATTTTTATCACGCAAACATGAGGATCTCTCTTGACATTCGAGCAAGGGCCGTGTCACTGTCCACTGGCTTATGGGTCTCGAACTTTTCTATTGCTGCTAAACTGTTTTGATAGATTTACCGCTAGACCGGTTCGGTATCATACCTGTTCTAAGGATTCCAATTGGACCCATCCTTTCACAGTTTCGGGTCCTCGGTTCCGATGAATAAAGTGGGGATCTTCATATCTTCCGTCTCTGGTTCATGATATATGGGTGTGAATTAGTTTCACTGCGATATCCGCCTGTTAATGAATATAGGCTGCAAGAGTTAAAACCAGTTCTACTAGTGTACTGTTCCAGCACCGTGCAAACTGAACTGAACCGTTGCACGGGTGGGACAACTGGACAACTTTAACCGATCTTGATCACACACTGAAACATTTAGTAGGCCTTTATAGATTGAGCTAGCAAGTGCACATGCTACGAAAGTATCTGAGTGGATTTCATTGACGTGCGATATTTTCTAAGGTCAGTTAAGGCTTGAAATACTGTCAAGGTTTGGTTATTCAAGTTGGCCGTGTGGGTCGTAGTAAGCTTTTCTGTTTATATTCAAGAAACTATCGCAATCGACTGTTGGAGTTTTCCAATAGTCGAATTTTGTAGGTCACCAGCCCCTTGTATGCGATATCTCTTATTGTTCATCGAAATTTTAAAAAAATCATAACAAAATGTTGAACCAAATTTCACTGCTTTACGACTTCTCTTGATATCGAGATTTGTTTAGCATCCTGTTCACTTTTCGGGACATGTAATTGGTCAAAAATATTTTTTCTTTGATTATGGGAACTCGAGAAAATCTGTAAGACTTCTGCGCTGAACACTTATTGGGCGTTGGTTGGAAATGTGATCAACGCTACTCAGAAATTCGAATGTATCGTCCGAATAATGCCGTCTGTGTGAGAAATCGTTTACGGACAGCAACGGTACCAACTAATCATCGTGTCACTTTTGTTCTACCCAAATGGTTTTGAACCTCGCGAGTGCATGGCTAATAATTTTTTTTAACTGTTTTGTTTGAAATGATTTTCAGCAGGTTCACGTTTTTCACTTTTTTCTCTTTCACTCGCTTGGCTTCAGAATTATCTCAGTTGAACTTTATCGGTATTTCTTGGATTGGTAATCATTCATATTGAATAATTTTTAGTAAAGTCGAGCTCAATTTCATTATTTCTCCCATTTAGAAATAATGGTCACAATGAATGGCATTTGGCTCTTATAGAATCGTGCGTCTTTTGCATTTAATGTTTAGTATATGTTCGTTTCCTGTGTGATAATTCATTTTCAGAAAATTTTCAATTACGCTTGTCCACTATCTGAGTTGGATATGCGTTTGGAACTGCCCTGGGCTGAGTTACGTTCGAACAATCCAGCTAGCCTCGCCGAGCTCTTTGTTGGTTTTATTCATTACTACACAAATGAGTTCGATTTCTCCCGTTGGGCTATATCGGTGCGCAATGGTGCTCCACTTCCGATAGACATGGCCATTCGTCGACTGCCTCCCCACGAGCAAGCACACACGGCGCGCAGTTTCAAAGTTTTTGTTGAGGGTGAGCTTATTTGCTCAAATCGTATTCGTGATTTTTTATGTTGTTGATAGAATGTCTCAACTAATCTGTTTGTTCGATTTGTCGGAATTAGACGAAACTGCTAATGAAGCAACTAGTTCAATCCCTAAGGAGTTACCAAGTATGAGGCTTTTTTCTTTTCATTCAATACATGTACACCAATGTGATCTCCAGAACAGGGAAGAGGCCAAATGGAGAGCTGAAATGTGGTACGATAAAAGGTGATTGTTGTTAGGCGACGGAGGTGGAGTTTGGGCGCAGCACCTCTGTGGCGATGTGAGGATGACCAACAGGGCTTGACCACCACTGCTTTACAGATCTGGCAATTCCATTCGGAAAGAAAGGTCCCTCAATCTCTTTATTAAGGATTAAATGGTTTAATCAGCACTTCTTACGGGTCACGTTTCACAGCCGATGATTTTCGCCTGTTTTGTAATCAGCAACTGGTTTCCCATTTCCCATTTTTCCCTCGAAGGTTTCTTTTTATTTCTTGTCACTGTTTCGTTACTTCTTGTTCATTACTTGATCACCCTTACATCTGCCCCCTAAAGTGGTTGCATAAACTGACGTTGAAAATTGTCGGCATGTTACTTGGCTACTAAAGCCTAATTTTTAAAAATAAAAGTTGTAATTTTGAAAACAGCGATGTCGGTACAGGTGAAAATAAGAGGACATTTCGGTTACCGTGGATAACCTTTATCAAGGCGATTTTACAATTGAATGAGTTAAGAACAGCTTGGCAGCTAAACTCTCGCGCACTGTGTGAGTCTGTGTCCGTGTCTGTGTGAACGTCACCGATCCAGATCGGGCGTTGGGCACATCCGTTTATGCAATGTTTGTCTGTGGGATCGCAGTTATCTGAGGTCAAATCAACGTTAGAATGAGTGCTGGCTTGGAATTGCAAACCTGTTTGCATGGTTCGGTTAGCCGGTGTTCATTAAACACTGGCTTAGCCCTTCAATCCAAGCGACGTTTTCGCCGTTATCGTTTTGTCGAGAGAATAAACAAATTGTGATGCGCTCACTTTTCGAAAGTTATATATCGCATATTCGCCTACGAGAACAAACTTACCCGAATTTTGGTACAACGGAATAGATGGATCGATTGCCTAACGTGATTAGTCTTGCATATTTGAATGTATTTGAATATTAAAGATGAAGCCTGTTTGATATGGCCGTACTTTGAACCGCTTGATAACTCCATAGGGTCTCATGACGAATGAAGCTTCAGGTTTATCACTTAACTACACGTCCTACACGGAGCTTACACTTATGACTTGGAACAGTCATGGCACGCTACTGGGGTTCCAGATCTACATCCCAGTAACTCGATGTTGTTTCGATCGTATGTAAGAGAGAAGCTCCTTGACCGACCAAAATATTACAAATACCCAGATTCTGTGATATATGTGTCGATTATCTCAGTACATCATTACCTCCAACAGCATAGCCTAATGGGCAATGAAAGAGTTATAAAGTGGCATTCTGTGGTTTTGACTGTTGGTTAAAAGCTTTCAGAACAGAAAAAGAGGTATCAACTTAAACATTTTGGTACCTGGTACCTGGTAATCATAACTGTAATAGTCATTTTAATAATAATAATAATACTGGTATCACTTCCGTTTGTTTGGTAAACAGCATTTGTTCAATCGATGTTGAGATAGTACACCCCGGTCAACTAAAGGCTATCATCACAAACGTGAATTTAGGGCTGCGGTATAAGGATTCACACTCGGGAACTACGCGTATTCGGTCTGTATCACTCGATCACCGCGGCTCCATATGGTGTGTGCACTAAGTATTCAATTATATCGCAATCTAGGTCACAATCAATCACTCAGGAGTTTTTCTTCCAAGTTTTACTGTCTATTTGCTGCCTATTTTTCAGAACCGTTTTGCCAGAGCAACGCCGCCCGCTCTCTCTATGATGATAATGTGCTGTCTCGAATTCGTCAGGCATTTGTGAAGACGCACCAGGCGTTACGAGCTCACCGGCCGTTGGAATCTATTTGGGTGAATGCAACAACTGAGGCCATATGACACTTATTCTATTCCTCATCTCTTGCCACGATCATTTGCGTTCCAATAGAGATGAACAGTTTTGTTCGGAGCTGAAGAATCTCGAAAAAATGCCGTCTATATTCGGTGCGTGTTAGTGATTGTGTTGTCTTTCCTTGTACAGTATTCCCTGATATGTTCTCACGTATCACCATCCTTATCATCTTCATATAACCCCCGCCCGATTTTCTCGTCCCCGCCCCCAGAGCGTCTCATGATTTTAAAAGCGACGAAAATAACCAAAAGATGTGTTAGTTCTACACACGTATATCCGGTAATACGTACCGCTTATTTCCGCACTTCAATACCTGTAGGTTAACTTGGACGAAATTAAGAGATATTTCACATCTCAGATTTCCCCACAATCCCTAAATTTGTTCTGAAGAAGTCAAATAAATAGCTCTACTCTCCCTTTCATATACGCATTTTTGTTTTCTTTACATATTCACTTCTCTGCTAAACTCTTTTCGGCAAATTACCACATTGCTTCCCTTTGCTTCTATCTCTCTTCCTGAATCCGCCTCCACTTTAGTCGCACTTTTTTCTCCCACCTCGGACCAGTTGTCAATCCCTCGCGAATCCCGATTCTTCATTCCATACATGAAGCTGTCCTCGTTCGATTCCCATCTTGCTGACACGATCCACCATGTATGCATTTATTCTTCTTCATATCACCCAACTCGCGAACTATTCCATCTGTGTACTTCCTTGCTTGATTGCTTCTCTTATACTTTCACAGCAACATCTCTTGAACGTCAGTGAAACACGCAACAGTGCGAATAGTAACTGCGCCGTATACATAACTTCCAATGGTCCTGGTTAAATATTTGAATTCTGCCACACTCCCTATCTCCATTTGCTTCTTGTACATGATTTCATCACAGCTGTTCAGTCCACTTGAAATAATCCTAGTATTGTCTGTCTCATTGTACTAATCGGTCCATCAATCAGTTTGTCTCTCTGTCTCAATCCATCCTTGAGTAAGCGTCAATTATTTGATTTTTGACATTTGTGTGCATTGAATTTTGTTTTAAACTGCAGTGTCCTGGTTCTCATCTGCTTGTCCCTTACCGATGGGCTAGCAGTGAGCCGAATATCCTGCTTTCGCTACCTCTATCGGCCCCGTCTGGTTCGCTCCATGTCAACTGTCGTGCCTTCATGTGTACACGCATATCGGTTGGTCGCTCACCCCTCCCCCCTGAATTTCTCGGTTTTCACGTCTATAGTTTGCTTGCGGTTTCAGTTTGCCCTGAGCCGTTTTATTGCGTTGTATGGTAAGCGACAATTCCATACGGCCCTCAGTTATGATGCTCGCTAGAACGCGTGCCTATCCTTTCACTTTCATTGCTGTAACAGCAACTGTTCAAATCGGTTTCGAATTACAGTCTTCCGAGTGTGAACTGTGTCGTTTTTTTATTTCAAATACTTGATTTTTCCAGTAGTCGAAGGTAGTGCGATGTTAGAAAGATGTATAATACTCACTTATCGTGGCGGAGGTGTTTTCCCACCAAAGTGAGAGAACGAAAAGCCGATATCCGGTTTGGTGGACCACTGGTAGTTCACCTAGAGGAGGTGGCCAAAAACCCTGATTCCAAACCAAACAAGAGACACACACACCTCCCTG